GTTGCATTGTAAATTTTGGTCAATGACATGAGACAAAGTATATGTGAACTGCTGTATGAAAAGTGAATTTACTCTGTAAATCTTCACCCAAATCCAAATAAAATAAAAAAACAAAACAAAACGAGGGAGAAGAAATTTCAAAGATGACTTGGGTATCCTGGTTACAATCAGATGAAAAGAGAATACTGAAAAAAGATAAGTTTGGTGGGGGAAGGGGAAGAGAGGGGAAACATTAAATATACATAACTCTTCAATGTTGTTGTTAGATGTCGTCGAGTCATCTCTGACTCATAGTGACCCTATGTATAGCAGAATGAAACACTGCCCGGCCTTGTGCCAGCCTCATGATCCTTGCTATACCTGAGCCCATCGTTGCAGTCACTGTGTCAATCCAACTTGTTGAGGGCCTTCCACTTTTTTGTTGACCCTCCACTTTACCAAGCATGATATCCTTCTCCAGAGAATAGTCCCTTCTGACAACATGACCAAAGCAGATGAGACGAAGTATGGCCATTCTCACTAACAAGGAGCAACTCTTCAATAAGTATTTAAAAAATTAAATACATTCTTACTTTATAGTATGGCTAATTTCAGGAAGGAGGGAGGAATAGACAAGATAAGAGAAAAAGTGAACCAGAAGTTAAAAAAGGCAACTAAAGTTAAAAGTGAAAAAGGACAGAGGGTAAGAAAGGGGAAAGGGTAAAGACAGCAGAGACGTGACAGGCAGATAGAGCAGATACAGTCAGATGATAGTTGTGACAGGGAGAATCTGTCTAGACCTCCTCAATCCCTTCATACCACCCCTCCCCTCCATTTCTATTTGACACCCCAAACTAGTAACACTCTAAGCCTCCTGTGTTGCCATGCTGGCTCTTCCTTTCCCTTATCACGCCATCACTTTCATCTCTGGCCCAGTTTGCTTTCCCTCCCTGTAGTCTCCTAAACAGTACTTGACAGTAGTCCTGGCATTGCTGGACAGTGTTTTAGGTCACTTCCTCTCAATCACTTTTTTGAAAGAAATAAACAACTATATTGCATCTGCTAAACTAAGAAGGGCACCTTGTGACTGAAACGAGGAAGTATGTTTATAGAACATTGGGAACTTCTGTGGGAATACACTTTAAAACGGGTGTTTGAGAAACTTCACATTTTAAGAGATAAAAAGAGAAATGGTTATGATTTAGGAAAATATGCTGAAGGCTTAATTAAATTAAATTAAGGAAAAAACCCAGACTCTGAGAGGAAAGGTCCCTAAACCTAATCTATTCAGTGTCTTTTCTTACTGTGTGCTGAGGGCTGTCTTCATTATCTCTCATGTAGAAGGGCTTGAGCACTAATGGGTAATTAATGACAAAGACTGGTATGTTGCCACAATGCTTCACCAGGTACTTTTCATGTTCACTGTGTAGATCAGCACCCCACTGTAAAGAGAAAAAACGAAATTACCAAAGGAGAAGAGAGAACTGAAATGTACAATTAAGCACCTGAAATAACCTGCATTGGTTCCCAAGGATTTGCTCTCCCTGAGGTTCAGTGATGTTTGGAGCTGTCTGCTGAGGTTACACAGCTGACTAAACTAGGGAGAGATATGTGTTAACAAGAATATCCAAGGGCCTGGAAAGATGAAAGCTGAAACCAGTAGATAAACACTACGCTTTTTGTCCCCATCTCAGAGAGCAGCATCTAGCAGATGAATAGCATCTGCAGGAAAACAAAGCACTTTCCACAGCACATACAAACTGACTTCAGAATCATGGTTTTTACTAATATTGCCTAGAGCCTTTCCACAGTTACTGTTCCTAAGACTCCGGAAATTAAATGATGGAAGATAATATTACTAATATTGAGTCTATCTTTGGATAGATGGCTTTTCCTGAAAATTTTTTTAACTAAAAGAGTCCAATTCATCAGAAGCTCTCTGATGAATATTTAATAGCATTGCTCATCTATTTACTTAATAAATACTAATGTGCCTATAAATCCCAGATACTAGGCTATGTATAGGATACAGTGATAAGAAAAACAGATAGTCTCCCCCACTTCACAAAGCTTCCAAGGTAGCAGACAAACATTAATACAAAATGATACAATGAATTAATTGATTATAACAAGCACAAGATGCTATCAGAACACATAAGAGGACCTCACTTAACCAGGATGGGGTTCGTATTAAGGAATAGTTTGAAGATGAAGCTATTACATTCTTAATATTATCCTTATACTACTACTTGTCAGCAATATCTTAAACATAGCAAAAAGTACTAGAATAGGAATCAGCAAATTTGGGGTCTAGTTCTGCCTCTAACATTATGTACATGCTCAATGATAAGTCATGTGGCCCCTCTGGACCTATATCCTTGCCAATAAATCAAGAGTTCTTAAAAAAATCAGTGTTTTCCCATGCAATCTTCAGCTTATATGACTACGAGACCAGAAGAACTAGATGGCTACTACTGGCAACCACTCGGAGGGCTGTCTATGTAGGAGATCCTGGATAGAGTGGAAGAACGATGTGGGACAAAACTCAAAAATTATTAAACAAAAAAAAAGGGACCAGGTTTTCTGGTCTGACAGAGCCTAGTGGAACCCCGGAGACTAAGGCGCCTAGCTGCCCTTCAGGTCTAGAACTGAAGCCACTCCTGTGGCTTCCAGCCAAACAAAAGATAGGCATATGAGTTGAACATTTACATTAGGTAGACGCACTCCTTGGAGAGAACAATCATGGGGGAACGGAAGGGTGGTGTATACACAGGGAGACAGCTCATGGGGCAGGAGTGCATGGGAGGGAAGGACACAGGGCAGAGGTAACTACGGGGAGGAAGTGGGAAGAGAGTTGTTGCAGTGTAGGAAATTGCAGTCAATGTCATGAGACACAGTGTATGTGAACTACTGCATGGAAAATGAATTTGATCTATAAACTTTCACTCAAATCACAATAAAAATTTAAAAAAAAATCAGTGTTTTCTAAAGTAACTCACAAGTTAAAAGGCTCCATGAAATTCAAGTGAAGAAGAAACCTGTTTAATATGCTTCCTAAATGCTTTTGACCGTAACTTCTTTTTTCTGTCACCTTTTAACATTATTTAGAACACACTTTAGGAAACAATGAACTAGTTGATTTTTATACTAATGTTCTATTATTACCATTCTTTTTAAAGATTTTCATCTTCCTAAACTTGTCAAACTTTTCCAACACTTTTTTTTGTCTTTCCTTTCTGTTTTTCATAACACTTTAATGACTATTTCAAATGACAAGTAACCCTACTGGTACAGCAGTTAAAACATTCAGCTGCTAACCAAAAGGTTGGTAGTTTGAACCCACCAGCCACCATGTGGGACAAAGATGAGGCAGTTGGCTTCTGTAAAGATTACAGCCTTGGCCTAATGTGTCTAGTGCTTCTGTTCTACCTCCTAGTTCCTTGGGTAGTGTCTAGGGTCTTAAAAGCATGTAAACCATCATCCAAGGCGTAACACTTGGTCTCTATTCACCCAGATCAACAGAAGAAGAAGGAGAGTCAGGAATGAGGAGCATATGGAATGTGTGACTAGTTGCTTCCATAAACAACTGATTCCTTTATCATGAGACCAGAAGAAGTGGATGGCGCCCAGCTACTATTACTGAACATTTTGATCAAAAATTCCACAGAAAATAGTGATGGGGCAGTTCTACTCTGTGCAACAATGTCACCAAGAATCAGAAATCAACTCAATGGGTTTGGCTTCATATTTAGTTTTCATTTTAAATTTTTCAAAAAGAGAGCAAACATCAAATAAAGCTTATCTACAGATGAGCAAATACTATACATTCCTAGTAAGAGAAATAAGGTTATTTTCAAATGATTCTCCATGCAGTAAAAATAAGGACAAGAGAGAAATACACTGCCATTTATATTAAAGAATGCCCACCTGTGGCGTGAAGGTGAAGTTCTGGGACGCCTGCTTTAAAATCTCCACAGCTTCAGTGTAAGACATGCTAGAGGAATACAAGGAAAGGTCAGTACACTTGTGGCTGTTTTTATTTTTAACCTCCTAAATTTGACTTATTTTGTTGTTGTTGCTGAGAATATACACAACAAAACATACAGCAATTCAACAGTTCCTACATGTACAATTCGGTGACACTGATCACGTTCTCTGAATTACGCAACCATTCTCATCCTCCTTCTCCGAGTTGTTCCTCCTCATTAACATAACGTCACTGTCCCCTGAGGTTCCAATCTAATCTTTTCAGCTGCTGTTGTGTATATATATATATATATATTACACAACTTTTGTCAATTCAACTTTTTACAGGTGTATGATTTATTGACAGCAATTACAATAACTGGCTATGCAATACTAATTGATATGATTTTTCCATCATTGTTAACACTCCTTTTCTCCCTCCCTGCCATCCCTGGTAACTACTAATAAACTTTGGTCTCTATATATCTGCCTTTTCTTGTCTTTTTCTAAAAGTGAGGTCATACAAGAGTTGTCTTTTTGTGATTGGCTTACTTTGTTTAGCATAGTATCTTCAACCTCCATCTATACTGTAACATGTATCAAGACTTCAAAACAAATGTACATGAAATGTTGAATGTAAAACAAACTCTGCTCTGTAAATTTTCACCTAAAGCACAATTAAAAAAAAAAAAAGACTTAATTTCTCCCACAGGTTAGCAGTATTCCATTATATCTATGTACCACATTTTGTTTATCTATTCCTTTGTTGTTTCTGTTCATTCAGGTTGTTTCCACCTTTTAGCTATTGTGAACAGTGTTGCAATGAACACTGGTATGTATACAAGTCTCCTTTTGAATCTCTGCTTTCTAGTCTTTTGAGTATATATGTAGGAGTGGAATTGCTGAGTCATGTGGTAGTTCTATTTTTAGTTTTTTGAGGAACTAACATATTATTTTCCACAGCTGTACCACTGCTTTCCCACCAGCAATGGGTAAGGGCTCCAGTTTCCCCATATCCTCCACAACATTTGCTATTTTCTTTTTTTTTTTTTAATCTTAGCCATCCAAGTGGGAGTGGAATGGTATCTCATTGTGCTTTTGATTTGCAACTTTCTGATGGTTAAGGACACTGCATATTTTCACATGTTTGGTGGCCGTGTGAATTTCCTCTTTGGTGTAATGTCTACTCAAGTCCTTTGTCTATTTTATGAGTGGACTGTCTTTTTGTTGTTAATTTGTCAAAGTTTCATATATATTTTGGTTATCAGATTCTTGTCTGATAAAATTTCTGAAGATACTCTCCCAGTCAGTAGTTTCTTCTCACTTTTTTTTGTAAAGTATTTTGATGAATAAGTTTTTAATTTTTATGAGGTCCCATCTACTTATTTTGTCTTTTGTTATTTGTGCTTTTGTTATATTAGATAACCCATTTTTGAAAGCTAAGCCTAATGGCTTTGCCCCTGCTTCTTGTTCTATGAATTTTACAGTTTCAGTCTGCACATTTAGGTCCTTAATCCATTTTGAAAATGTATTTACATACGGTATGAGGCACGCATCCTGTTTCATTTTTCTGCATTTGGAAATCCAACTTTTCCAGCACCATTTATTGAAGGGATCCTTCTTTCCTCATCAAATGGACTTAGCACCCTTGCAAAAATCAGTTGACCACAGATGTGTGGGTTCACTTGTGGTTGTTTTTAACTACTACATTTTAAACCTAAAAAAGGCCTATTCCAATACAGTCTTCAAGGTCATAAATGAGTATGGTGTAATCAAGAATTAATGTTCATCTAATCCTATGGAAGTGAAGAGTGAAGAGAAATAGTCATTCAATAACCTCATTCTTGATCTACTTACAATGTATAAAAAAGAGACATTTCTTTAAGTAAGTAGAAGTACTCTCTAAGTTCATGCTATATCAATGCCCTAAAAGTGTAAAATATTGAAGCTGAAGACTTGGCTAAAAAAAATCCACTCATTCATTCATTTAACAAGCATCTCTTGAGTTCCTACTATGTACTAGACAGTTGTGGTAGTTAAGGTTATGTGTCAACTTGGCTGGGCCTGGTTTTGAGAGGCTGGGCAGCTGGATGTAGTTATTCCCCACGATGAGACAGATAGGTAATCAACTCCGTGGTGGAATCTGCTGTGAGCAGCTGAGTAGCTGCCTTAGGGATGCGGTCTGCTTCCAGAATATAAGAGGCGGCTCTGAGAAAGGTCTTGAGCTCCTTGGCACATCTGGATCATGCATTTGGCCAAGTTATCAGTGGTCTGCCATGCTGTCTGCCGATCTGGAGACCATTTAACTAATGGCCTGCTGTGTTGCCTGATAATCTAGGGACTGTGCCATTTTACTTGTTGACCTTGGGTTGTCAGTCTCAACAGCCAACAGCTGCCTGAGTTATGAGAAGCCCCCAGCTTTAGCGGGCCAGGAATAAGAGGCAGAGCTGAAGCCTAAGGTTAAGGTATCTTTACCCAGCCCCTAGAGCTGGCACTCTGAACTTGGATTCTAGCTTCCTAAACTGTAAGAGAATAAATCCCTGTTTGTTAAAGCCATCCATTTGTGGTATTTTCTATTGGAACGGCACCAGAGGACAAAAACAACAGTATTCTCTTGTGTTCTGTCAAGTCAATTCTGCCTCATAGTGACCCTACAGGATGGGGTAGAACTGCCTCATCGAGTTCCCATGGCTATAATCTTTACAGAAGCAGACTGTGACATCTTTCTCCTGTGAAGCAGCTGGTGGGTTCAAGCCATCAAACTTAGAGTTAGCAGCCAAATGCTTAACCATGGTGCCACCAGGGCTCCTTGACACATTCTAGACACCGTAAACAAAGACAAATCCCTTGACTTCATGGACCCACTAATCCTCTGTGGTGAGTATCTGCATGTGAAGGGGGGAAGTAAGGATAAACAAATAAATAGAAATAATATACTATTAGGTTGTTGTTGTTGTTATGTGCCATCGAGTCAGACCCAACTCATAGCGACCCCTCCTTGGGTTTCCGAGAAAGTATCACTACGGAAGTAGATTGCCCCACCTTCCTTCCGAGGAGTGGCTGGTGGATTTGAACCGCCAGCCTTCTGGTGAGCAGTCAAGGGCCTTAGCCACTATGCTACCTATCTTTATAAATCTTATCTTTATTTATGTTTGGGGGTTGGCATGAGAATGATAACATCAGCAGATTACATGCAATACTGTATGTACAAAAACAAAAAGCAGATGATTTTAAGTGTGGTTTGTAGTAACTTGAATACATCGAAAGTTGGGGACTACCTATAACGTGTTTTATTTAACTCTCACTTAGACCAATGTAACAGTCTCCTAATTGGTTTGCTGCCCCCACTGTTGTCTTGCTACAACCTATTCTCAACAAGGAGCTAGAGTTGTCCTGTTAAACTCAGCCAGATCATGTCATCTTTCTGGTCAGACACTACAATGGCTTCCCCACTTCATTGTGTAAGTGAAAACCCAAACTCCCCACAGTGATCTACAAGGCCTCACATGATTTGCCTTCCTCCTTTCTCACTTTATCTCCTTTCCTTATGCACTCTTCACTACTACTTGAACACAGCGGGCATGCTCCAACCTCAAGGTTTTTACACATGCTATTCCCTCTGCCTAGGAGCTCTGGTAGCATAGTGCCTAAGGCACTTGACTGCTCACCAGAAGGCTGGCGGTTCAAACCCACCAGCACTCCTCGGAAGGAAGGTTGGGCAATCCTACTTCCGTAGTGATACTGCCTCGGAAACCCAAGGAGGGGTCGCTATGAGTCGGGGCCGACTCGACGGCAAAATAACAACATATTCCAGGTCATATTTTGGCTCTTGTGGACTTGTTTTCAATTTCAAGTTGAAGTTGCATATGGACAGTTGATGGTCTGTTCCACAATCAGCTCCTGGCCTGGTTTTTGCTGAAGATATTGACCTTTTCCATTTCCTCTTACCACAGATGTAGTCAATCTGATTCCTGTGTACTCCATCTGGCAAAGGTCACGTGTATAGCTGCAGTTTGTGTTACTGAAAAAAGGTATTTGCAATGAATAAACCGTGGGTCTTGCAAAATTTTATCATGAGATCTCCAGCATTATTTCTGTCACCAAGGCCAGATTTTCCAGCTACCAGAGATTCTTCTTTGTTTCTAACTTTTGCATTCCAGTCACCAGTGATAATCAACACATCTTGATTGCATGTTCGGTCAATTTCAGACTGCAGAAGTTGGTAAAAATCTTCTATTTTCTCATCTTTGGCTTTGGTGGTTGGTGCATAAATTTGAGTAATAGTAGTATTAACTGGTCTTCCTTGTAGGCGTATGGATATTATCCTATTACTGACTGCATTGTACTTCAGGAGAGATCTTGAAACATCCTTTGTGATGATGAATGCCATGCCATTTCTCTTCAAATTGTCATTCCTGGCATAAGAGATCATATGTCGTCTGACTCAAAATGGCCATAACTGGTCCATTTCAAATCACTAATGGCTAGGATATCAATCTTTACGCATTCCATATCATTTTTGACAACTTCCAATTTTCCTAGATTCATACTTTTTTTGTACATTCCATGTTCTGATTATTAATGGATGTTTGCAGCTGTTTCTCCTCAATTTGAATTGTGCCACGTCAGCAAACGGAAGTCTCAAAAGCTTTACTTTATCCATATCAGTAAGGTTTGTTCTATTCTGATGATGCAGCTCTTTCCCAGTCATATTTTGAGAGCCTTCTGACCTAAGTGGCTCATCCTCCTGCACTGTATCAGACAATGTCTCTGGGCTATTCATAAAGTTGCACAGTAATGTAACAGACAGTGTTTTTCTGCTATTCATGAGTTTTCTCTGGCCAATTCTCTGAGAAATGGATGGCCTCTTCCTTCTTCCTAGTCTGCCTCAGTCTGCAAGCCATGCTAAAACTGTGCACCATGTGCAACCCCGCTGGTGTTTGAAACACTGGTGGCACAGGCTCAAGCCTCCCAGCAACATGCCACCACAGTACAAAAAACAGACAGACAAGTTTGTCTCCTTTAGCTGTTCAAAACCTCTCCACTCCACGTCCACACCCCCTTACCTGGATCCCTGCTGTTGCTCCTCACTCTATGCTAGTCCCCCTGGCTTTTCTCTCCTTTCCTCTGCTCTCCCTCCACTTGTGGGTGGGGCCTGGGTCCCTCCCCTTATAGTGTGATAAATACAAGGTAAAGTATAAATAAAGTTAAGAGAAATTATACTTACATTAAAAAGTTGTTTTTCAGCATATGTTCTAATCTATCCTTGGTAAGAAAAGAGGAAAAAGTAAATTTACTCAATGTCATTGAGTAACTTATTTAAAGAGTAGAAGAATTCTGCTTCATCTAGAAAACTAATTACCTTTTGGCCAGGAGCTATGAATTTGTGACAGAGTTCAACATCTTCAGGACAATTTGAGAGAACCATCATTGTGGTAGTCTTGAAGAGTCCCTCCATAACCTACAAAGAAATGACAGAATTGCCAGACAATTAAGTGGCTTTATATGAAAAACTTATTTCAGGGCGCTGTAAGGACTGTCCTCCACTTTTCTAATAACTACAGATTCACTAGACCTCTTAATCCTAAATGTCTGAAAGCAAATTCAGTTTTCCAGATTATTAGAAGAGGCACCTCAACTTCTGAGAGAAGTGGGGAAAAAAGAAAGAAAAATCTTTGAATCATACATGAACAGTATTGATACTGGTATTAATGTGAGATGCCAAATGAACAGCTAACACTGACTGGTGCCTCTCTAAATTCCATTATCCTCTGACCTTAGAATCAGGATAGCTTACAGAATTGTGAGGATTAAATGAGACAGTTCTTTTATAAGACTTTCCTCAGCACCTGGTTCAGAGATGCACACAACATACATTAGTTATTGTGAAGAGTAAGAGAACTTTGAGAAGCAATCCAGTTATATGAAATTTAAAAATGTACTAAGCAATCAGGTTTTCTTTTGAACGTCACCTCAAGATTTTATCGTCTCAACAATAAAACAAGATGGAGCCTAGAAATGGATCACTTGGCCTATCTCTTCTTATTTCCTCTCAGTCCCAAACACTTGCATCTCTTAAAAGCCAGCATTCTCTCATGTCTCAGTTGGGCTCAACACATTCAAGCCTCAACACAACATTCGGCCTACCACATCCACTCTGCTTCCTATCATAACGCTGCTTTCCCTGGACATATACAGAATCTTTGCCCTTCCTGTGCTGTGTCACTTTGTGAGGTTGGTTCTTGCCACACTTCTTACGTTGGGGTTTAGGAACATTCACCATGTCTATGGCAGTGCTATCAGCGTAAAAGAGTAGCAAGTAGGTTTTGAATAAAGTTTTTCTTTTTGCCAAAGCAAACTTTACAATTAAACAAGCAATGAGCTATATCTAAATATATACATTTTGCCTTGCTTAAGCAAAAAAGTAAAAATAACACAAATAAGTACACAAGTCAGTATGTAAGAATTCATTTTATCAGAGGTGCCTATGGCAGCTTCATGGGAAAAATTTACTCTTAGAAGAAAAAAGTGACTGAAATGGAAAATATTCCTACTATCTTTCTAATTAGAACTAAAATTTCTGATTTGAAATTAGTGAGATTGTATAAACTAAGACCAAACCAAAACCATAACCATTGTTACTGAGTCAATTCCTACTCATCCATAAGGTTTCCAAGGCTTAAATCTTTACTGAAGCAGAATGCCACATTTTTCTCCCACAAAGCAGTTGGTAGATTTGAACCACTGACCTTTTGGCTGGTGCACAAACACTAACCATTGTGCCACCACGGTGCCTGAGATTTATATATATATATATATATATATATATATATATATATATTTTAATTGCCATCTAGTCGATCTAGACTCATAGTGACCCTATAGAACTGCCCTATAGAGCTTCTGTGACTTTAAATCTTTATGGAAACATTCTGCCACATCTTTCTCCCATGGAGTGGCTAGGGAGTTCGAACTGCCAACCCTCTGGTGAGCAGCCACACATTCTAACTACTGCACCATTAGAGCATCTTTAGATAATATAAGGCCCTGTAAATGTACATAAAGATACATACATGTAAAAAAGACAGACAGCCTCAAAGGCAGGGATCTTCTTTTTCTCTGTTTTATCACTGGTACAGCCTATTAAGGCTGGAAACACCGTAGAGGCATAACATCTACTGAAGTAATTGAATATGATTAGATACAGGACAGTACTTAAATACTAAGTGACAACCAGATATATTTTATAATGCTTTGGTCTTCATTAGTGGCATTTATTATAGATGTTTTGCTACACTATACTCCATTCCTGGTTTGTTCTATTTTCCATTTCTACGTTCTATTCAACCAACATGCATATCTAACAAGGTGACAAAAAGTTTGCAAACGTAGGTATCTAAAATAGTAATGACAACTAATTTGGGAGATGGAAAAAGAAGTTGGAATCAAGACTTGACACAGCATAAAACTGAAAGTGGTACACAGAATTAAATTAGAAATTTCTAAGGACTTGGTATTCTAAGGAGCAGATAGATGTTTTAATTTAGACTTTAAGGAATTCATGTTAAAAATGTATACCATTAAAATAATAGAAATATAAGGTATCAATTCCAAACTAAAAGAAAAAAGAGAACAAAGGAAGCCAGAGGAATTTAAGAAGAGAGACTGAGGAGGAAGGAGTAACTTGTGATAAGGGAAGGACAAAAAGGAGGCTAACTTTCCTTTTCCTTGAAGCTATATAACCTTCATTTACAGTGAGATAAAGAAATCAGTAACTGAATGATTTATGAAGGGTCATATCCTTCTGTCACTACACAAAATTCAGGCATACCAGGAGGACAAAAGCTCAGATAGTGTGCTGTACTACTGAGGGATACAATACACCTATGTATAAGGTGAAGACTTTGACCACTGGGTGGTTAAAGCGGTGTCTTTCATGGGCAGTAAATTTCTATTTGAAGAAGAAAATCATTGGCTTCCCTAACCTTGACATTCAGATTATGATCTATAAACATATTCAAAGAAAGCAGAAACTTAACTGAAGGACTGAACATATCTTCCAGATGTCTTTAAAAATGATTGCTCAATAGCATTAAAACATTAATACTTAATTGCTTATAACTCAGAGAAAAAGATCCTTTGTTACAATATTTTGATTTACTATTTAAGAGACCACTGATCCATCATAATAATTTTCACAGAATGTAATTATGAAAGTGAAAAAAAGAAAAAGAAAACAAAGACAATAAAGTGCCTAAGAACAAACATTTTTAAAAAAAGGAAGAAAATCAATAGAAATAGCAGATTACTTTTTTGGGGAAGGGTGTGTGTGTGAACACTTTTTGTTCTATTTTTAGGAAAAAAGTTTATATTCTAATTAATTAAATCTTTCAACATTGTATGCCTTAAGCACCTACCACTCAAGGGAATTCTAAACAAATAAGAACTCATGTAGCAAATCCCCTGACAACCGAACTTGAATTTTCTTGCTTATCTGATCACGTTTCTATTTATTACTAGCTTCATGTAGGGCAGCATCAAGATTCTTGTCATTCAAATCTTTTAACATTAAGAGAAAACTGTTCAGGTTAGGTGACTATTTAAAATTCTGCTACATAAGAATTAACTGGAGTTAAAAGAACACTTGGAAGGAAATATCTCAACAATTTGGATCAATTAGATATTCTTAATCAGTATTGTGTTTTATTGCCTGACAAACATTAATGACACATAATTCAGTACTCACTATAAATAACAATATGGAATAATCAACTCTGGGGCTCCAAGTGACATATTCATCATGTTGGCCTACCACCATAGAAACCATATTTCACAAACCCCAAAAGGAGACACAAAGTCTAACAAAAGTAATAGAATACATGAAACTTGTTTGAACTTTCTGTACCAGAAAGTCTGGAATATTGGGTCACAAAATCAGTCAGAAACCTTCTAGTATAACTATATAATGGACTGTCTAAGCTGCAATACTTTTGAGAGTAAAAAGAAGAAATAGTAATAATTAAGCCAGCATTTTTTTTTTTTTTAAATATACATATAATTTTCTCTAGCTGGCCATGATGGAGCAACCTCTCTCTAACTGATTAAAACTAAAACATCTGGACAGAATATAAAACCAACTAGGTAAGGACTCGAAACAATAGCAGGAGGACTGGGGACTGTGCAAAACCTGAATAATGACCTATACTGTAATGGGTAATAAGATACAGAGTATATTTTATTTTAGGGTATCTGTGGTTTAAGTGGAATTGGATTATTTACTAAGTGAAAAGAAAGAAATAAAAAATATAATAATAAATAAATAAATAAGAAAGAAGACAGAGGTAGTAATATTGCTATAATTTGAAATTCCAAGTAGGATGTTAATCAAAATGGTATTGGATAGAGAATTCATAGTAACATAATTATTATTTACTGGGTACTAACTATGTATCCTGAACTATGCTAAGTACTTTATACACATTATTTACCTAAGCCTATCAACTACTCTATGAAGTAGGAATTATTATTCCCATTTTACAGATGAGGAAACTGAGCTTTGGAGAAATTAAATCCCTTATTTAAGGTTACATAGTAAGTAACAAACTAAGATTCAAAATCAGGTCTAACCAACTCCAGAATTTATGTGTTCTCTCTGGATTACGGCCTTAGCCTCTTCTCCAGATCATTCTACGTACTGCTGCTACAGAAATGTTTCTAAAATATAACTCTGACCATGACCGTTCCAAACTTAGAACCCTTTTTCCTTTACCTTTTGGATGAAGTTCAAACTCCTTTGGATAAAGGTCAAAGTATGGCATTCAAATACAAGGCCCTTCATGACCTGACTTCTAATTACTTCTCTACCCTTATTGCTTGTCCCCCAGAACTGAGCTCTGACAAAGTCCTGTGGGTGCTTTCAAGTATCACTTAAAGATGGTTTATTCATTTGCCTAGCAAATAACAAGAATACAAAGAGTTACTATTTACTGTGCCTGCTACTGCCCCAGACCCCATACTAGGTATAGAGTATATCTACATCATTTCATTTACTCAACACAGTAATGTTACAGAATAGGTCCTATCATTCTCATTTTATAATTCCGGGGCTAAAGATCATGAAGGTTAGGTAACAAAGCTGATGGCAGATGAGCAAAGCTGATGGCAGAGCTGATGTAAGAACTAAAATCTGACTTTTGTACTTTAAATTATGACACTGAAGTACAGTAAATGCTTATAAAGTCATTCTTCATCTTCATTTTGTGAGTACCTGAAATGTACAGGTATCTGAGGTAAGAATGTATACAGAAGTATTTTAATGTCATAGATGCCCAGTATTTACAAGTGTTTTAAAACCTGAGTACCTACCTGCATGAGATCTTGAAGGCTCTCAACAAAAGAAATTTCTGCTTCTACCATATAAAACTCTGCCAGATGTCTCCGGCTCTGAGAATTCTCAGCACGGAACGTTGGACCAAAAGTAAACACTTGAGTAAAAGCTCTGCAATTGAAGATTAAGAGCATAAAAATAAGATTCACATGATCTTAAGTATTTAAAATATTCAGTGAGCTCTAGAGGGAAAAAAGAAAAACACTAGTTTTATGCCTCTGTCTTGTCCACAAAACCATACATATTAGTTGCTATATTTCTCTAATGGGTGATAATAATAGTTTCATTAAAAATGTTACATTTATAGAAACCATTTTATCCTGAAGGAATTGGCAAATGCTTTACAAACCTTATGGCTTACTAAATATAGAAATATAACCACTTCTGGTTGTGCTCTCTTGCGGCTGCCTTAAACAGCAAGCAACATTACACAGCAATCAAGAACAAAGTGAAGGAAAAACACCATTGCCCAAGAAACCAACAAAGAATCTGGATGGTTAACAGCTAAAACTAGAATTTCATGCAGAAAAGGTGTGGTAATTATTTCTGAATATATGAAAAAAGGACAGAAAATTACCACGTATGGCAATTCACCTTGTTCAAAGTCTAGTCAATTCCTTCATGACCACACAAGTGTTTCAATCCATGGTGAATGACCCATGAAATTTGTGGGGGGAGGGGGAAGGGTAGATTTTGAGGAACTATCTTTATCTCTGGTTTCAAGAAGGACTATAGCTTAACCATCTAAACAGGAAGAAAATTTGTATTTAAAAGCAGAGAAGTAGACATTATATCTTCAATCTGACATTTTCAGTCTGTCTCCCTTATATTGAAACAAGGCAGCAACTGAGATAAGATAAAGTATAAATACTCATATACTGATATTTCTTGAGAATGTCTAATGTCACTGAATTTTAAGATTTTGCTAGAACAAAACAAGAGGCCTGGGGCTCCTTGGCTATAATCTTGAGTAGTTTTCACTTGCCCATCGCCAAATATATATAAAGATCAGAAAATACAGTTTAGACTGATTTTTGTATACAAATGTTACTCATTTTGTTTTGCTTTGTGTGTGTGTGTGTGTGTGTGTGTGTTTAAATATAGCAAAATAATTAGATGGAAACCAAGAGTTTTATTTTTTCTTTTAAAAGGCCATTTCAGTTAAGATTCAGTTGGAAAGCAGCTTAAGAATTTATATTTTGGTTCTAAAGCCACCTTTCTGAGAGCATGATCAGTTAACTTCTGAGAACCTTAGTTTTTAACAGAAAAATAAACAGTAAGAACTCAAAAAATATTACTATGGTTACCTCTCTCTCAAGATTCAGATCCAGGCTTATCTACTA